TTTAGGGGTTTGTAAAAATACTATACTGACTAAACTTAGAATTATACTGTATATGTCAGAGTGCTATGTAGCACCTTCTATTTAGTCTTGCTACTGCAACAACATATATTTGATGTACGATTGCTGACTGAAGCTCCTCAGCCTGGTAGAATTAGGTTGGTGTGAGCTTGGTTTGATTCGGCCTGGCTTTGATATCTCTGCCGTGTGTGCGCATGCAGGTGGCAGAGGCGTCCGATCGAACTCAGGTAGAGGCCGGAGGTTTGTTTCTCGGGCATGCCAGCAATCACTCTCGATGACACCAATAATGTGAGACACGCTGCATTTACATGATATTGCTAGGAATGCATGCAAATTGCACAATTTGTTATACATGTTGTTTATTGGACCTCAAGAATAGATTTGACACCTTACCATAGGTAGCACTTGATTCCTGGAGTATTCTTGTAACTTTGATCAGTCTATGGTAGATAACTGAGTGTGTTTAACTTATGATGCTGGATTGGATTGGATTTGGGCATAGGTGACGTCATGATTCGTGAAGGCCACCACAACTCATCTTCAAGACCTCCTCTGCTATCGTGTGTCGCGTTGTGCTCGTGCTATTCCTAATTTGGATCAATTGTAGATCGTGTCCTTGTCGAACACAATTCAATGGAGTGCCCAACCCGGATTGTTGCTCTCTGCTATAAGAAGGAAGGGTAGTCGGCTGGAATCTCCATCATGTCAATTTTGCACGAAACATCCAATGTCTTCGCCGAGTTCGTTGGAGGAAGAAGCATCGAGTTCGCCGGAGGTACAAGAACATCCGTCGAGCACTCCAATGTCACCTGCAGCGGCTACACCAGAGGTATGTTTGACCCTTGTTTGATTTATTTTTCTGTCCCCTGGCTGGCTGGCGAGCCCGTGCGCAGCGACTGTTGCTGCTCGCACGCTCGTGCGCGTCCCTGCTGCTAACACTGCTAGCTCGTGCCCGTGCTCTGCAGCAGCCTTGGCTTTGCCTTTTCGTTCCGTTAGTTTCCTCTCTAGCTAGCCGAAATCACTCTGAAGCTGTGAACCGAACGCGTGTGTTCTGAATCTTCTCAACTGAATGCTTCAAAGATAGTTTTGTCCTTCTGCAGAGATTTGCTTGCTTGTCACAGCTTGAATTGGTTATTCCTCAGTTATAGTGCTTGATGGATTTGATAATGTATGATAGCCTTGCTCATATAGTACTAATGAAATTCAATTGCATACTGAAATCTGCTTGGTTATGTACACTGCAGTCCATGCTAATTTGATAGCAGAGCATTGCTGGTTGTCATATTTTTGATCTGAAATTTGTCTGCTAATCTGGGCATCCACTGCTTCGTTGGGCTGAACATTATAACTCAAAATTCAGAACATATGCCGTCACTTTGCGTCCAATAGTATATTTATGGCTATACGCTTTCATGTTGCCCGATTTTTGTCAGAGCTTCATTTTGTATCTCCAATTGCTTACTCATCTATTAGCTTTGCAGTGGCATACACATGAGTCGATATCTCAGCGTGTACTACAAACATCTTATGTTGGATATGTGTGCTTTCCAACATATATTTGAAGTGTAACCAGCCTTTCGCAGTTGGATGTATTCTGAACATACGAGTTTATCTCCTGAACCCATGGTTACTTACTGAACAGAGTAGCAAAACTGAAAGTATATATACTGTACTGTACTTGCAGTAATATAGATGCCAATATCATTACCTTTTTCACTTAGGCGGTAGTAGGGATTCACTTTGGTATAAATCTGATTGATAGTTACTGCTCTGATCTTGATTCCTTTGCATAAGCCTACTTAGAGTAGCAGTGGTTATACGTGTTTGCTTACCTTTTACGAAGCTTCATATTACATCAGAGTTAAGGTAAACTCAAGTATAGAACTTTTTCTGCAAATGAACAATTATATTTCACTAAACTACCTTCGGCCAAACGATTGCTATAATCATTCAACCATGTATTTATAAGCTAAAAATCACATTTAAGATTGGTCTGGATCTGAAATATTCTACCAACAAACTAACGTTTGAGGCTTACCTTTTATTTGATTTTTTTCCCAGGTCCTTAAGATGAGTGATGAACATCCGTCAAGCCATCCAATGTTGCATGTGGTGGCTACACCAGAGGTATATATCCCCTTGAAAGCTAATCAGTTCATAGAAGCCCCTATTTAAGTTAATTGTTTCTTAATGGGTGCCTCTGTTTCATGTTGACAAGAGCAACAAAGAGGTTACAGATTCATCTAATTTCATGGTGATGAGTGAGCATAAGATGTTATGAGAATATGTTTGCTTGATTGTACAGATGTAGGTTTCCATATACTTTGTTTTTTCTGATCCATTCCATGTATAGGCGTTCTTGTTAACAGCATAGGTTCAGGCCATATTTAATTATCAACTAATTATCAAGTGGAGTTGCAGATCATGAATAGGGGAATGATCATAGATGGCCGCACCTACAGTTCGATTTATCTTGATGGAGAGGCACTTGATTCACAAGTAGTTTTAGTGTTTTTTCTAGATAGCTCAAGTACTTAAAGCTTCTGCAATCATGATAATCAAAAGAAGGGACCATTAGTCAGGTTCAATTAATCAAATGCTTCCCATGTATTAACCTGTATATGTTGATATAGATGCACGCGATTCGCAAGTAGTTTTAGCATTTTAGTCTCATGACATTCATGATTTTGGGATCCAACCTTTGACTAAATTATATATCACACCCACTGATGGTAGAGCCCTAGAGCTGTTTGAATGCCAAATATCCTGGACGGTCAACCTTTAGTTTGAACTTTGGATCCATTTCTTATCTCCAGTGAGCATTTTTATAAATAATATCCAATTATGTAGCGCTAGCTCGAGCCTTGAACACTATTTTTCTTGTTTTCTTTTTTAAAACCGCCAACAACATTCATTCAAATTCATTTCTTATTTCTGTAATACATGCTTTCAAGGAAAACTATATATGCAACTACTATAGGGAATAAACGCTATGCATGTTAGCCAGCAGAAATCTTATGTGTTTGAGTTTGTAATCCATCTGAAACTAATAATTTCGCCACGAACAGTCTGAATTTGGATAGGACCCTTGCCCAGATCATATAGTTCGAGCTATTCACTTTATATTGGTCCAACGTTTGGCAGTCCATGTTTAATTCTCTGTTTGTTCCCTATTTGATTAAAATCCATGAACAAATAAGTGCTGTTTCTCCCTGTTTTATCAAGTTTGAAAGTCTGAATTTCGATTGGACCCTTGCGCAGATCACATAGTTCTAGCTGTTCATATTATTTTATTTTATATTGGCTGTAAATGACTTTCAGTTTTTAGCTTTCATAAAATTTAGACATGTACTCTTTAACAGTATGCTGTGGTGATGGTTGTCCTGTGTGCTGGTTGAAATTATCATGTTGGATAATATTGCTTTTACTAGCAGTTGCAATGCTCTTAATTATTATTTTATTTCCACAAATATCATCTTGTTTTGCTATTTATGTAATACTATATACGTTCACTGAAAGCAAACCTTTCAGTTGCTGCTGTGGGCCTCTTATTATTGTTATTTAGAGTTCAAAATCCATCAATTTCATGAATATGGTGACAATGTATTTGATTCTATTGAAGACCCAATGTATGACAAGGTGCTATTTTCATTTGCTATGCTGGGCAACCATGAAAAACTCGATCCAATTCATAATTTGAATTACTCATGTGTTCTTTATGGCTCTACTCCTTTTTATTGGAGAAGGGGTATTTTTTGTCATGTTTCTAATATGCAATTTAAAGTCATGCTTGCATATTTCACCGTTTTTTCTTAATTCCAGAATGTAGTGATAATTAGCTAAACTAGAGAAGTATTAATCTATTCCTATTTAGCATACCGTAACATTCGAAACATTGCGTTTTGAGTTTGTTGATATGAACCACTCAAATGGTGCTCTCTGCCCATATTTAGTACAAGCGCTTCACATTTCGAGAGATAATGCACCACTCAAACGGTGCTCTCTGCCCATATTTAGTACAAGCAACAACAAAGTTGACACCTCAGGTGTCAGGTCTGAATTATGCTGAACTTTTTTTTATCTTTTTATTAACCACATCGGTGGCTAAAAGAATTCATAAGTAGTAATGCAGACTAAGAAATTGCTATTTATCTTGTCTATGCTAAGAAACCGGAGACTGAATTTTCCGACACAGAAGGATTCCTTGAGAGCACATCAGCACCTGAAGCTGCTGCTCTCGTAGCTCTACACTTTTCTTCTTTCCGGACACCTGACAACCTGAGCATGCAACAGCACAAGTAGGTCATGCTGTGCAACATCAGCAGAGCGCACTCATTGCAGCGGCTACTCGGGCGTCTTTGACGACACCACGCTTGATGCTAAAGTAGAAGAGTGCAGCACGGTTGATGAGCTGAAGCGGCATGAAAACATTAACTTTTATTAAAAATAAGGATATTTCCATGTTTAACCTTATTATCGATGTTTATTAAAATTGGATATAAAAAAGGTGCACAATGACACATGAAGCAGGTTCTGCCCCTTTTACGGCCCGGTGCAACGCACGGGCATTTGTACTAGTTAGGAAAAAGCAAATTGTGAGTTTTATTTCGCAAAAAAAAAACCAAATTGTGATTTTTTTTTCTAACAAAACAAAAGCTACGTTGGGTCCACACAGAGAAGGCTCGAGCGCGGCCCATTACGCCCCTGATTGGGCCGAGGCCCCGCAAAGAAGAACCGGCGGAAGTGTTCCGAGTAACGGGGGTTCGCACAGAGCTTCGACCTTCACCCATTGTCCCCCCTCGGCGGCGGCGGCGGCGGCGGCGACGACGCTAACCAGAGCAGGCAACGAGCAGCGGAGCCGGAGCGGAGTCGGAGGCAGGGCGCACGGCGGACCAGAGGAGGGCCGGCGACGAGAGTTTGTAGGCGCGGCCGGCGGCGCCTGAGCGCAGATCGCCACCTCCGGCGGCTTAGCCAATCCGGCGAGTGAGTGCCCTCTTAATGTTGCTCTTCTTTTCCGGTTTCTCAAGCGTAGATTTCTGACTGACTGACTGACTGCGTCGGCGTGTGTAGTGAACAAGCGAGCGAGGACATCCGGGCCGGAGGCGCGAACCACCATAGTGGCTTCCGCCGTCCTCAAACTCAGCGTGGACTACGAGCAAAGCCAGGAGCTCCCCATCGGCAAGGCCGTCTACTCCGACACCGTCACCGTCGGCCAAGACAACCTCTGGAGGGTGGAGTGCTTCCTCCGCGGGGAGAAGGTCGCCGACGGGGGCAAGTACATTTCAGTCTTCCTCAGGCACATGGGCGAATCCACAAGTGTCATGCCTGTCTTCGAGGTTTGCTTGATGGACAGGAGCGGCAGGCCGTCAATGCGCCAAAGAAAGACCACTCTTCGTGACTGCGAGACCATGGCGGATGATGGGAATGGGCGCACCTGGGGATGGACTCAGTTCATCGCAGCAACTCTGGCCGAGAGAAATTACACGACGGCTGACGGGCACATTACGTTTGTGTGCTCCATCATGGTCATCGATGACAGCTCCACTCCCGTGCCGCCTTCAGACATAGGGGCCCATCTCGGCCAATTGCTAGATCATGCCGAGGGGACAGATGTGTCATTCATCGTCGAGGGCCAGATGTTCCACGCTCACCGAGCGGTGCTAGCCGCTCGTTCGTCGGTCTTCAGGGCGGAGCTCTTCGGCTCCATGTCCGAGGCTACAATGCCATCCATCACGCTGCAGGACATTGCACCTGCGACATTTGAAGTTATGCTTAGGTACATGTACACGGATGCCTTGCCTTCCGATAACATGCCTGGGGCCTGTCCCATTAACACGCTTCAGCATCTGCTTGCTGCGGCCGACCGGTATGCACTTGACAGGCTAAAGATTATTTGCGCACACAAGTTATGGGAGGAGGTGTCCATAGAAACAGCCACAACTATCTTAGCTTGTGCCGAAACCTACAACTGTGCAGAGTTGAAGAGCAAGTGCATCGACTTCATCGTGCTGGGGAAAAATTTGAAAGAGGTCATATTCACTGAGAGTTATGGGTCGTTGCTTGTGAAGTTCCCATCCGTTGCTGCTGAGCTCAGAGAGAAGCTACATGACAGGATTTATGCGTATGGAAATGGAATAGGGTGAGTTATTTCTAATACTTTTTCAGGCATATTGGAATGCTTTTTCTAACTGTATTTGTTGAGCTGGAAGCCTGAGCTTTAAGCTCATGTTCTCATTGCAGATCTTTTCTTGCAGTATTGAGTTAGTTGCTATCGAGTGATGCCGATAAGCGCGCATTGTAAAGTAGAGCATATTGTCAAGCAACTTAGGTGCAAATTTAAGGATGCCGCCCCAAATTAGCAGCCTGTTTGTGTTTTTCGTTTGTTATGTCTTGGATTGGACATGCCTTGTCCTGTCCTGAAGATTTAGAGACATTTACCTTTTTTATGCTGGTACGTAACTACTACGTACTATATCAATATGAGTAGTGTTAGCTAGCTACATGCAAGCATCAAGCAAGCATGCAGTCATCGGGGGAAATTCAATGATTCTGCTTGTTGGTAAGCTATTATGAGTCAAGAGAGAAAGAATATTACATGGCTGGCAGAAAAATAGAAATCAACTCTGGCGACATCTCCTCGTGGTGGAAGGGTCGTTTAAATGACAATGCCCCCTTCGTGTGAAACATTTCCTCAGCTCTTCACTATCTGTAATTACCAAGAGTGTACAGTCAAAGGATGTTCTGATATAAATATCAATACTTTCTTCAGAAGAAAGATTGTCTCCTGACCTGCTAAATCAGTTAAATAATGTTTTAGATATAGTTGGTGGTTTGAACCTTTCTTCTGTTCCTGATAGCATCAGATGGTCCTTGCGGGGTAAGAGTATCTTTATTTACTACTAAATCTGTGTATGAATTTCTGGAAAAACAACTATCTGGTTGTGACTACAGGTGGATTTGGAGATGTAAAATTCCTTTAGAAATTCAAATATTTTGTGGCAACTGTCACATGATGTTGTTTTAATGAGGGGTGTGATGTCTAGGAGAAACTGGCCAGGAAACCCTAAATGCTGTTTTTGCAATGATGGAGAAACATCTCAACATTTGTTTTTCTATGTCCGGTCGCTAGAGTTGCTTGGCGCTCGGTCGGATCGGTATTTGGCACTGATCTATGTCCTAATAACTTGTGTCAATTTTACTCTTGGTGTTATGTCTTTTTTTCCTGATAGTGAGAAGTTCTATACTGTTTGCCTGGCTGCCACTTGTTGAGCAATTTGGACTTGCTGTAACAGAGTGACCTTTGAATTCAAGCTTGCTGAGACCCCTTCTGAAGTTGTTTTCGCGGCCTGTGCTTTCTTGTTGTCTTTGGCAGGGCTACAGAAGACTGAGGATCAGACTGTGCTAGAGCAAGGGGCGGTGACGCTGAAGAACAACGCTTCCTACCTGATGAGAATTTGTGTGGCGGTACAAGGTGGTGCTTCGTCGGCTGCTTGTTAGGAGGGCTGTCAAAGAGTGGCTCTGTCGTTTTATTCCCAGTTAGACCTGAACGGTTGTATCTCCTGAGTGAGCGAGCATTTTGTGTTTTGATAGGATAGTATCTTTGTGTCGTAGGGTTTTTCCCCATAGTGGATGTTTCGATACCGAGCATCCATAGTGGGTTTCCAGGCCGTGCACGTACTTGCCCTTTCCCTTTTCTTGCTTCCTGAACCTTATCAGCAACAACTTTGTATTTCCGTTATGAATATAATGGAAAGGGGAATAGCCCGGTTCAACCAAAAAAAAAAACATGCCACAGACCAGGACATTTTAATGGTCATGTTGCTTTGCCAAGATTCTAGCTGAAAAAAATTTAGAGGTGAAAAATTAAGAACCATGATGTTGGGGTGGCCGTTGGAAGTTGAGATAAACTCATCTTTTTCGCGCTGTTGTCTTTTCTTCGATCTATGGAGGCCCTTGTTCTCCTTTGCTATCAATGGTAGCCATACGGCTGGCTGGGGGATGCCGCCCATCGCAATGAGCTCATCTCCCGGGAGGTCCACTCTACAAGGACCGAATTGTTCTTCCATCGTCATGATACTATCAATGCTAGCATATTTTTCATCATTAAATTGATAAAACAGATCAGAAGTCATGCCCAAAGGGTTCAATTCTGAGCCAGAGCTACAACGTTTACGTCGATGCAGAATTCGTGTTTTTCTATTTCATTTGTCACTTCTCTATGAACCTATGGTATATATAATAGTCCTACACATCAAAAGTATAGATTGAACTTTGTTCAGAGTATTGTTATGCAAATATTATTGCAAGTTGCATTTCATGCGTGTGAAATATAACTAATATGCTATTGCAAAAATTAAGGATGATGTTATGCAAAGGGCACGTTTACTTAATCACCACGTGCCGACTGAATCACAATATTATTGCAAGGTAGTTGTGATAGAGAGATAGCAACTGTGCACCAAATGACATTTGGTCAATGACGTAGAAGCCATTGGCAGGCTGAAGGGCTGGGTACTAACTGAAATTGTTTGATAGAGACCATGAAAACTAATCAGTCTCAAACTATCCAGCTATAGCTTGTTTCATGCATGAACGGCACCCAAACTATATATACATATAATTTTTTTGCCTAGTTATCATCCATTCATTGATGGCTACCGATTATCACTGCATGTTCAATCCATATGCTCCTCTAGTGTGCTAAGAACCGAGTTCGTCTTTATAGCAATGGAGGTAGATCAGGTTCCACATTATGCCATACAATTTGGTACGAATTTTATACTAGAATCTGAAACAACACTGCTTGGCTGATATTTTTTATACACACATTAACTGGAGAATTACCCACACATTTCCGGTGAATTACATGCGCTTGTTCAAGGACCGCAAATCAAGCTGGCACCTTAGACTGGGTGAGCAAGTAAATTCTGGAGATGAAGTGCATTTGGGAGGGTTGCGAGGTGGATTTCAGTGGCCGTGGATGTGATATTCAAATCTATAGCAAAATGAGGGATTTTTGGGAGGAGAGGATTATTAACGTGAAAATATCATAGCTAGGAGAGTGAAGGCGGTATTGCTGCGAACCAACCTATGGTTGGATGGTTAGGAGGATGGTTTCCCTAGCCCATCAGGGTTCAAATCCTGATGCTCGCATTTATTCTGAATTTATTTTAGAATTTCCAGCGATACATTTTCAATGGGAGGAGACCTTCCCAGGCGTACATGTGTGCATTTATAGGGGTGAGTGTATGTGCGTATATATGAGCGCTTACGTCTGTACTGTATTAAAAAAGGCCGGATTGCTAACTTCCTCGCACGAGGTGCTTCCCTCATTTGAACTCCCTTCTAGTACTTCCAGCCATATTTGCCACCCTACCAAGGGTACTATCAGTTTTTTGCCAGGGGTTGCGTCAACCGAAGACCGACTTGCGATCGAATCTTCCATCACGCCTGGTGATCTCCCGCCAGGAGAGAGCCCTGGCTCGCACCATCTTCTTTGGGTCACTCGTGTTCATCATCGACCGCTACGATGACTTCTGATTGTGCATCCTAGCTACCTCCTCGTCAGGACGTCGGCATGGCCCACATCCTGAGCTTGAATCCTATAGTGGGCATTATTTTTAAATATGCGTCTATTTCTTTCTTTGCCACTAACAAGTAGGACCCACATGCAGGCATGAGATAACTCGCATGCAGAGTTTAACCGAGAGTTAACCACAATGACGGAAATGTATTCAAACATACCTAAAAAAAGTTGTAGGCCTATTTGTGTCTTTTCAAGTTTATGTATGAATCTATACATCTAGTGCAAATTTATGTACAAAAAGTGCAATTAACTCTTCTTGATATACACTTTAAAAACATTAAAATATGAATTATATAATAAGAGCATGAATGAAAGAGAAAAAATAGATTGCAGTTAAAAGAGTGCTATGTATAAAGAAAAATAATGAAAGATCAACTATATAAGTATGCTTCAAGTGCCCAACACATAGACGGTGTCCACGAGAGAACAAAACTTAGTGCAAAAATTAATGTGGCATGGTAGCTCTGTATGGATATACAAAAGTATAACACATAACTTACATGTATGGCTAGATGATGTAGAATGATTGTATGACTAGGAGAAATAGGTAGTGACTTGTAGCTATTTAGCAATAGAGAAAAAGAATGTCGTTCTAATAAAAGTGAAGGATAATTTTTATAGGTATGCTCCAAGCTACCAACACATATCCCATGTCTATCTACAGTTAAAAAACACATTCCATGTCTATGGGAGCACAAACCGTAATGCAAAAATTTAACCGATGACTTACATGCAAAGAAGAAATTAGTTGAACCAGGCATATAGACGAGTTACATCCACCCACCAACCCACTTTGGTACGTACACATTTTTTAATGCGAGCCTGTAGTCGTCCCATGCGTGCTTGGGTAGTTAAGATAGAGGCGGGTCGGTCTTGAGCCAAGCAACATGCAAAGTGAATGTACACTCGGTCTTACGTGATGCGATTAATAGCAGTCCACTGGTAACGTTACGTGCTATACAAACGGTTTTTACCCCTTTTTGGGATGAAGTTTTAAATCGCAGCCTTGCCTTTGTGTGCGATAGGGGGGAGGGGTCCTTCCCACACGACCCAAAAATCGTCAGGGATAGGCATGCGACTACTACTACTTGTGAGCTGTGTTGGGATTTCCTCGAAGAGGAAAGGTTATGGAGTATAGTAGAGATAAGTATTTACCTCCGTTAAGAACCAATGTTGTTATCAATCCAGTAGGAAAACCACGCGAAACCTCGTGAACAACACTACACACAAAAGAGCAAATAATTGCACCGAATACGATCTAGGGGGTTGTCAATCCCCTCGGCGATTATTTGCAAGAAACACATTTGATAATGGTAGATAGATAAATAAAACACAAAAAAGTGGTAAATAAATGGCAGCAAGGCATTTTTTAATGATATGGTTATTAAACAGAGAGAACGACCGAGTCGTCCACAACACATGGGTATTAAACAGAGCCAACGAGTATTTGGAAAATGATATGGTTAGTCTTGATTTTCTACATATTTCTGTGAATTACAGCGGGAACGACCGATTCATCCACATACAAGTACAACTGAAATAATCATTTTCTTCAGATATACATTTCAATAAACATGAACGACGTTCACTGGTACCTATGTGTTATAAATGCCAGAAAACAATGTGTTCAAGTGCTCAACTCGCTGGGCCCATACAGGAGCCGCAAGGACCTCACTGATACAGTTAGTACTTAGTCCTACAACCCCATCTTTTCTAAGAAGCTTTTTTTTCTTATTTCTCGCTTGTGATGCTTATACTTTTTTCATTTGTTGGTACAACAGCTAGAAGGACTGGAGGATTTATTCAAATATGCATCCAAGCACATGGAATTAAAATCTGATAAGTGGACTGATCTAGATGTTACAACATGGAAAAGAGAAGAATATATTAAATGCAGTATTCAGACGGATGGGTACGCCTCCTAATATAACTCGGAGCATTTATGCTTAACAGGGCACATTTGGTATGCTATTATGTTTTATTATCACTGCATAGCATTCCTGAAGCACATTTGATCAAGAGATATGCCAATGCAATTATTTATCTTATTGTATGCCAATGCAATTGAAACGACACCTCTCATGAGATCTGGCCTAAATAATAGAGCTCAAGGTGATACATTTCATTGGGCTGCATATAATAAATGCGTTATGATTTACCAATCTTTTTATGCAGTCATATGCCTACTTAGAGTAAGCAGTCACGCATTAACTTGTAGTATCAGCTATGCTAGCAATATTACAGGAGAAGCAGAGCGAGTTCTGTTATACTATTAGGCAATGAGCATAGAACAAGTGTTTCTTTCCACACCTGCATAAATGTTATTTGGGTATAACTCCAGGCCTTATTATTTTTTACTTCTCCATTTGTACCATCCTGCAACTGGAAGAAGCAATGTAAAAATACCATTCTACACACTTAAAGAGATCAAGAACACACACTGAAATTGCTATTAGCATTACCTGTGATATAAATAGAGGGAACTATGAAGCAACCGCTTTGTGGTACCTGGAAGAGTTATTGTCCATAATTTTGTCAGGAAGTGTGTTCTACTAAGTGTACAAACTGAAGCTGCATGAAAAACAGGGGAAGGGAGACAAAGCCTACTTGAGGATAGATTGAATTGTCCTCTGCAAATAGTCTGGTCTATTGCAAGCCATTATGACAACAACGGTGACAGAGAGATCAGGCTGATCCTGTAGAGCATGTACGCGAGCTGCGAGCTCCTTCCTAGAGCGACTATTCGATGCACTGGATCTCGATCCAATTTGATATGCCTGCTCCCGCATTGTGTCGACCAGC